ACAGTCGTGTGGTCTTTGTATAGTTTTTTTTAGCTGTAATCCATAGTGTCATTTACAAGTGTCTCAGTGGCCTAGGCTGAGAGTTTCTGGTGGTAACTGTACAGCTTTGCAAGGGATGGGTTTGCTGGGCTGATTCTTAGTTTAGGGGCATATGCATGCATGTGGTGGGTCAACCACCTTGGGATCTGACACACTGGCAGATGGGGCTATTAATGTGGCCAGGAGCATAGTCATGCAGTTGCTCAGCCGGCCTTGGTGAATGTTTGCCAGGAGCAACTCACTGGTTTGTTTCTCAGGCCCAGGAGATGCCTGGGATCCAGGTGCAAGGCTGCTTGATCCCAACAGAGGTATAGGGATACAGTTCCTCGAATGGCTTGGGGCCATATCTGCTGAGGGGTTCCACAGGATTGTTTCTGAGGTTCAGGATGCAGTCACAAGGCTATTCAGCTGGCTTGTGGGCATGTCCACTAGGAGCATCCCGTGAGGCTGTTTCTCAGGCCTGTGACACTGCTGCTTGGCTGGCCTGGGAACTTTTCAGCAGCGATGGCCCACTGGACCATTTCGTAGACCTGGGAAGTAGGAGCAGGGCTGCTTGACTGGCCCAAGAGTGTCTGCCAGAGGCAACCCTCAGGGCTGATTTGTAGACCTAGGGTGTAATGCTGCTCAGCCAGCTAGGGTAATGTGTCTGTTAGGGCCAGTTGGCTAGTGTACTTCTCAGGTTAGGGACGTGGGCGTACGATTGGTTGGCTGGTCCTGGGGCATGTCTGATGGGTTATAGGGAGGCTGTGCTGTTTGTCAGGTTTGGGAGGTGAGTACAAGACTGCTTGGCAGGCTCAAGAATGGCCTGAAGAGCTACTTCTCAGGCCTAGTATGTGTTCACAAGGATACTTGGCCACCCTTTGGGAGGTGTATTCACCATGGGTGGCCCATAGGGCTGTCTCTCAGGTACAGGTCATGGCTCACGACTGCTCGGCTGGGCTGGAGGCATGCCTGCCAGGGGTAACCTTCTGGTCTGTTTTTCAGGCCCTGATTGTGGGCACAGGACCACTGGGCAAGCCAGAGGTATGTGTGCAGGAGTGAGGGGCGCAGGGTATTGTGGGGCTGTTTCTCAGGTTCTGAGTATGGGTGCATAGCCACTCTACCAGCACAAGCGGTGTATCAGCTGCTTGGATGCTCGGGGGCCTGTCCTTCTTGAGAGAGAGCCCCACACTGGTTTGGTCAGCTCAAGCGAGAGTTTGTCCTGGGTGGGACTGCCGGATTGGTCCTCTGGCCGGAAGTGTGGCAGCAAGAGGTTGGATTCCCTGCTGTGTAGGACCAGAGTCATAACCAATTATAGGCTCAGTCTCCATGCAGCTAGAGTTGTGGCATTCAACCACCTATGTGGGCTTGGTGGAATGAAGATGGACCCCTAGTACTGGAAAGGTGCAGTGGCTACTGGCCCGCGGAGCAGGGCGCACAACAGAAGTGGCTTTGGCCTCAACGGTGCCATGCTGCAGCAGGTTGGCCTACAGGTGGGTGAGGGATGGAGAGTGCATACTTTATTCTCATGATCTGGAGCAGTGCAACTGCTTGAATTCCCAGCAGCTCTCCACCTTGACTTAGGGCTTGCTAGGACTATGGAATTCTCCTGTGGTAAGGACTGTAGGTGTTTATAGTGTCAGTGAGGACTGGTGGGGATCTTCTGCTTACCTTTTCCCCAAAATGGGAAGTCCCTCCTGACTACGGGAAGATTTGATCCGGGTGCAGGAGATGTAGCTGCAGAGGCCAGGTGCCTACACACTACCCTCCTGGATTTTCAGTCACTACACATGTGTTTCCCCTTCCCTGCTGTACTCCAGCACTCTCCCTTCAACACGCCAGTCAAATCTTAGCTGTTCATTCATTGCTGTGGTCCTTTCTTGTGCGGGGTACGAGCACCAGGAGTCTCTAATCAGCCATCTTGCTTAATATTTTAAATCTGCGCTTAAGCTTTTTAATCTGCTTGTTGTTCCCTTCCTTCCATGTTACAGCACCTTTTCATAAACCCCTATAGGTTTAATCAATGTACTGAAATTTAAAGGCGAAAGCATTAAGTCATAGTATTTATCAGTTAACAAAATGGATTGGTTATTCTTGGCCACACTGACGGTTTATCTACTTTTTGCTTCTTAAACCAGAGCCCTATTGTGGTGTTTTACAGTCATTTATTGGGTTTCACTACAGTGGAATCTGGAAGAGTCCCTTGCCTGGCATTCCATTTTGATATAGTTTCATGTATTCCTGATGTACTCTGATGTTGGCAGGTTGAAGAGATGAACATTGTTTGACTTCTGCTACTTTTGTAATTTGTTGTATGTGTGGGAGTATCCTGAGAGAAAATATGGATTGACTAAATTGTCAGATACAATTTATTTTTATACAAGAACTCTCAATGGTATAATTTTTTTCGTTTTCTTTTTCTTTTATTTTTTTTTCCTCTCTTTTTTTTTTTTGACAGGGTCTCACTCTGTTGCCCAGGCTGCAGTGCAGTGGCACGACCTAGGCTCACTGCAACCTCCTCCTCCCAGGCTCAAGCGATCCTCCCACCTCTGCCTCCTGAGTAGCTGGGACAGGCATGTGCCACCACACCCAGCTAATAAGTTTTTTATGTTTAGTAGAGACAGGGTTTCACCATGTTTTCCAGGTTGGTCTGGAACTGCTGGGCTCAAGTGATCCACCCACCTTGGCCTCCCAAAATGCCGAGATTACCGGCATGAGCCACTGTGCCTAACCTCATTAGTATAATTATACAAATTCAAATTTTAAAACATAAGACCTGTAGTCTTATGTTTGTTTTAAACTCTAATCCTAACCCCGAGATTATAGTATATTTAAAACACTATACTTGGCCAAACTGTCTGAAATACAAAAATTCTAACTCTACAGTTAATTGAAAAAGGCAATAGTGTGGCTTGTAATATTACAAGCATTTTATTTTAAAAAAATTGATATAGCTTCAAGTGACAGATTGAGCCCTAGAAAATACCTTTTGATTTTAAGAGACAGGCTCTCACTCTGTCACCCATGCTGGAGCCCAGTGGCTCAATCATAGCTCACTGAAGCCTCAACCTCCTGGGCTCAGGCAGTCCTCCTGCCTCTGCCTCCCAAAGCACTCAGATTACAGGTGTGAGCCACTCTACCGACCCTTAGGAAATGCTCTTACACATGGAATTTACTGTAGACAGATTTCCTAGATGGTTAAATAGGATATTTCTCCTAGTTGCATATTGGTGAAACCTGTGTTTATTATAATATTTAGAAATAGTATAATCATTGGTGAGCATAAAAATTACTGGATGTGGGGAGATCTAAGAAAATTATCCTGGTATGTTTGTAATATTAAATTTTAGGCACAAAGAATGTAGAAAGGAGATTACCAAATTTGGTTATGTTGGTCAGTGTGACATTAATAACCAACTAAATATTTTTAGTGTATAATGTAGTTTAAATATTTGAAATGATGACGACATATTCAAGAAAAAAGCTAACTTAAATGGTTGATTGCCTAAACTACACAGTAAATTTTAGGAGTACCCAGATTAGAAGTAACATTGTTTGAAGATCACTTGCTAATATATTTATCATTTCAAACCATACACACAACCCATAAAATATTAGTGGGCTGATCCAAGCAAAGCATAAGTTGGTGTTTAAAGTAAGTTGAGTGGAAAGAAAGCTGTAAACCTGTTACAACTCTCCTTATACATATATAAAATGGAAGATATTATTAAAATCCCTATTCATTTTAGCAAAGGGTTTGAAATTGTTTTGAATAATTCATCAAAACATAAAACATTTTATGAATTAAAACAAAACATAACCTAGGAAAAAAGAAAATACCATGGATTGCTTAAAAAAAAAAAAAAAAAAAAAAAAGTTGCTGAAAGCAGTGTTTTGAGAGACCAATCGTATATCATCTGGGGATGTACTCTTATTATAGTGTCTGACCTGATCCAGAGGTGAAGAAGTACCTCTATACAGTCCTTTAATGTTACTTCTCATTAAATGTCACTTCTCAGTTGGGCTATTACTGGTAGTATGACAGGTGATATCTTGAGATTGTCTCCTTTTCAGAGGACCTAGAATTCCCTATGCTTTAAAAACCATGCAGGTATACCAGGAAAATTTTTTTATTTTTGGTATTTTGTTGTGAAACATATATAATTTAAAATGAGGATCATATTTGCTTTTTTCCTTTTGGATAAGGTATTGCAATGACAAATAAGTAGCATATTGCAAATACAAATAGTATTTTGTTTTGGAAAATAGTTTACCAGTTGTCCCAGTGCCTTTGTTCAGTAATCCTTTTTGTCCTAAGTTTTGATGCCATCTCTACTAATATTTTGTATATACAACTGCTTTTCCCAGTTCACTTATTTTATGATAGTACCTATATTTTAATATTGGAAGGAACAGTCCATCTTTACTCTTTAAAAAGATTTTTGGCTTTTCTTAATTCTGTTCACTTTCAAATTCTTTAAACAAATTCGAATGCATTGGTGATATGAAGAGATATATATGATATCACCGTACGAGAGCAGTACAGTGTTATAAAAAAAAAAGTATGCTGCATAGAAACCTTTAATTCAATAGGCTTTTAACTGATTACAATGATATTTAGTAATTCTCAGAGAGATGTGTAATGTACTAACTGAGACATGAAGTTTATAAGGGCCATGTCGCATGTTTAATGTGACATATAGAGACATATTTGTTTTAAAACTTGGTTGTTTCTAAATTTGTATTAAAAGTTTGGGTAGGTGATTGAGAGAATATTGTATCAGTCCTGGCTCTTGTTTCTTAAAAAGAGTCAGATATGAGATGTTCTAGTTAAACCTTTTATCTGTAAAGAATTTGAAAACTTAATTGTTAAAGAGGTCAATTTATTTATATTCTGTTCTTACCGCTTGTAGTTTAAAAAAGAATATGGACTTTTTTAAAATCTTTTACCTATTATTATCTCATAAACTTTTCATATTTAGTTAATAAATCATGCTTTGAAAGAACTCATGGAAATAGAAGAAGTGAGTGAAAATGTATTACAAGTTCACTTAAATGGTAAGTATGCCATTATTTTGCCATTGGAGATTACATAAACTTTGTGGGGTTTTTGTATGATGAAACTAAATTCACTTGTATATTTCAAATTCATTTTAATAGATTTTGAAAACTAGATCTGTGTTTTACTTAGCACACCATATGCAGTATTTTTAGAAATTAAAATACTAATAATGAAGGAGTCTCAGAAGGACTCTGGTTTTTTTCTTCTTTTTTTAATCATTCTAATCCCAAGGAGGATTATTTTTTGATTCTACAGAATGTCTTTATTGCTAAGTTTTAAAAAGAAAGTGATGTGAACTAACAGGCTTTGACTGGGAAGATTTACTTAACTGGAAAACAACCTGCTATATCAAATACATGTTTCGTTTTAATTAAATACTTTTAAATGGACTTTATTTTAGGACTGCTGCAGATCAATGACAAAATCGCCCTAAAGGAAATCACGAGGCAGTTAAATCTGGAAAATGTAGTTGGAGATAAAGTTTTTGTAAGTATAATTTCAGTTATTTTTATTAAATAGGCTTTAAGGTAATGTCTTTATACCATATATTTTTTTATATTTCTAGAATGGTAGGGAGAGGTTCAGAAATTCTAAATTGAAATATATAAGATTCTTTCATAAAAATGTGTAATGTATAGCATACATTTAGTCATTAAGTCTCTACAATATTTGGATTTTTTCATAGTAGGTTATACTAACTGTAAAATAGCTAAGAAACCCAAGTTTATGTAGATATTCTGAGTTTATTTCTTTTTCTGTAAGGTGAATACTTTGGTTCTCTATCTCTGGAGATAGATTAACACATTTTTTAAAATACCATGTTCCAGCAGCCTATTTCTACTTTTTTGAGACTTGAGTAGCTGTCTATAGTAGAAAATGTGCTAAATTTGAAGCTGCAATAGGTGGGTTTCAGTCATGCCTTACAACCCTTTGACTACCTGATAATCCAGAGCTAACAAGTATCTCTGAATTCAGATTCTTTACATGTTAATTGGGCATTATTTTATTATCCATACTTCACAGGATTATTTTGAAGAAGAAAGAAAACATTACACATCATTTAACTTAAAAAATAATTTGCTGGATGGTAATGTGCTGTACAAATGTCAGTTACCTTACTCTGTTTTCAGAAATTTATTCATAGATTATCATATCTTATAGTCTCAGGACAGTGAACATCAGTAAAAGAAACTGACTCGAAATGTTTTAAACTTTTACCTTTCACTTAATATATAGGGCCTAAGGAAAACATGATAATTTAATTTTGCAGCTACCTGAATTTTCATGATGAAATTACCTAGCCTCATACTGCTTATGCAGTTGGAGTGGATTATATACATTCCAACTTCATTTTCTGGTTACTGGTGACCATGCAGTGGCACTACTCTAATTTCTGAACTGTGTGCTTTGTGCTGCAATGATACCGCCATAGTTGTGTAAGACTCCTAGCATTTATGAGTTTTCTTTAATAATTAATCTATAAAATTATTATTAATTATAAAATAATCTAGAAAATTAATCTATAAAATATAGATTACTATTAACAGTAATCTAGAAAATTAATCTATAAATCTATATAATTATGTAATAGATTATATATAATTATAGATTATACAATTTATAAATTAATATAATAAATATATTAATCTGTGAAAATATTAACATAATAAAAATACTAATCTAATAATCTAAAAGGTTGAGTAAATTTGTCCCTTCCATAGTCTATAGGTCTTTGAAGTGTAATTTCAAAATGCCCCTTCTATAAATCTAATATTCTACCTCCTGTTTAAATGTGATGTTGAAGCTAGTGGCATATACTGAGCCAAAGACAGTTCCTATTAAGTATGCTCAGTTTGGCTTTTGGTTCCCAGTTGATCTGGATAGGTGTTTCTGACATTTTTAAATGTTACATATTCATATTGGTTTTATGTGAAATGATAAACACAATTTTTTATCATTCTGTTCTAATCTTCGCTATTATCATCACATATAGAGATTATTAGTTTAAGTTGTATCCAAAAATGTTTTGGCTTTCCAAGTAAGCATAGCCATACATGGATATGATATACATAAATTCTTCAATATACTCTTGAATAGAGAAATACTGGTATAGAAATTATTAGTTTAATTATTTCATTATATACATTTGGTTTCTTCTCAGAGAGCATAATTAGGTTGCCAAAGGTCATAAAATGGCAGAGGCTAGACATTATAAGAACCTAAGTCACTTAATGCAACCCACAGCTTTTCTGGTCTGATATAAGCAGACATATATATGTATATTATACATGCACAAATACATATTTATAGAAGTATATACTTAGAGCCGGGCACGGTGGCTCACACCTGTAATCCCAGTACTTTGGGAGGCTGAGGTGGACGGATCATGAGGTCAGGAGATCGAGACCATCCTGGCGAACACGGTGAAACCTCGTCTCTACTAAAAATACAAAAAAATTAGCCGGGCGTGGTGGCGGGCGCCTGTAGTTACAGCTTCTAGGGAGGCTGAGGCAGGAGAATGGCGTGAACCTGGGAGGCGGCGGAGCTTGCAGTGAGCCAAGATCACGCCACTGCACTCCAGCCTGGGCGACCACAGAGCGAGACTCCGTCTCAAAAAAACAAAAAAAAAAAGGAAGTATATATTTAGTATCAGATATAAAATCTTTTAAACAAAAAGCCTGAAAGACAAACTACCTTTGAGTAACTGACCACTGATTTCCCAACAGATTGTCTCTTTGAGGATTTGTTATATTATGGTAAATTATGGATAACACCTCTTGGTCTGCCTACCTTGGAAATAGCATAACAACATCACAATATGTGAAAGTTTAAAAAACTGTACGCTATTTTTATGTTAGATCTCTCAACTGGAGAACGAATAAGTGCGTTTCTTTTCTCCTTTATCTCTCCTAAAATTTAAAGTTGGCTGTTTCTTTTAATTATGAACTCTGAATGAAATAAAAATTAATAACTTTAATGAAAAAAATATTTTAATGGGGCTTCTACCCACAATCTGAAGCACCTGGATAAGGCATCTACTACGTTAAGTTTCATCAAGAATATTTAATTGTATCCAAAAACGTTTTGGCTATATTACAAGTAAACATAGCCAAACATGGTATGATATACATAAACTCTTCAGTATACTCTTGGCCGGGCGCAGTGGCTCACACCTGTAATCCCAGCACTTTGGGATGCCGAGGCGGGTGGATCACGAGGTCAGGATACTGAGGCCATCCTGGCTAACACGGTGAAATCCCGTCTCTACTAAAAAATACAAAAAATTAGCCGGGCATGGTGGCGGGCGCCTGTAGTCCCAGCTACTCGGGAGGCTGAGGCAGGAGAATGGCGTGAACCCGGGAGGCGGAGCTTGCAGCGAGCGGAGATCGCACCACTTCACTCCAGCCTAGGCGACAGAGCGATACTCTGTCTCAAAAAAAATAAGTAAATAAAAATAAAAAACTTCTTCAGCATACTCTTGAATAGACAAACACTGTTATAGTATCTAATGTTTCAAAAAAGCCTTTTGTTTTTGTATCTCATTTAAATTCATGGTTATTTCTTTACCAGTACAAATTAATTTGAGACTTGCAAGACCCCAGTGTGTTTGAAGACACAAAATAGAATCCATTTCTAGGTCTCAAACAATATTTAGAATATGGCAACTCTACAAAACTACCTTCAAATTTCTAGCATGACATTGTAATTAAAATAATTGCTTGAAATAAAATTTCAAGCATGACACTGTAATTGCCATTTTCAGTGTTGTGCCATCTTTGCTTAAGTATTTAAGTTTTAGATAGGAAGTATAGAGACTCTCAGCAAAGTCTGGGCAGTGACTCTAATAACTAGAAGATATACAGTGTTTATATAAAATCTGAGGATCAGCCCTCTTTTATTCTTTATTTCACTAAACTTTTAATCATTTTATCTCATTTTGTTGTTCAGGGAAGCTTTGCTGAAAACCTTTCATTTCTTCTGGAAGCTTTAAAAAAAGGTAAATATTAACATATTCAGCCATTTCAGAAGATATGTTTTAACTTTTATTTTTCCTTGATTATAAAGGTAATACAAGCTTTTGCCAAAAGAAAAACTCTCAAAATACAGAAACATTAAAAAGAATGATCACTGTATTCCCACCACTATAACAGTGATTATCTCAATTAGCATTTGGTTTCTTTATTCAATAATATATACAGTATAATATACTGTATATACTGATGATGTTTATATCAGTATATTATTGATGGAGATAAATGTAACTTTTTACAATAAAATTTTACCTATCATTTTGTAATCAGCAAATTTTGGTCTGCATCATTTTTATGGTTCTCATCTTGTTTTATAAGGTGCTATTTATTAATCACCAATTATGGACTTTTGTTTCTAATTTTTTATAATTAAGAAGAGATACTTAGATGATCATCCAGATATTTCCTGGAATAAATTTCTGTGGGTAGAATTCTGGGTTGAAAGGCACCGTCTTTAAAAGACATTTAAAAACTAAAGGTTTACTTTGTAAAAATATTTGATAATACCTTTTTCTTCACAACCTCAAAAACAATTATTTTTATGTTTGCCCATATAATAGAAAAACTTTCATCTCTTAGTTTAATTTGAATAATTTTGTTCTTTGTTTAATTTGCATAATTCTGTTAGTGGTGATGCTTGTCATTTCATATTTTTATTGACCTTTGAAATTTCCTGGTTTATGTACAGTCATGTGCCACATAACAACCTTTAATTCAATGATAGACCACATATGTGACAGTGGTCCTATTAGATTATAAAACCATATTTTTACTGTACATTTCCTGTGTTTAGATATGTTTAGATACACAAATACTTTCCATTGTGTTACAGTTGCCTACACTATCACATGCTCATAGGTTCATAACCTAGGAGTGATAGGCTATGCCATACAGCCTAGGTGTCTAGTAGGCTACACCAGTTAGGCTTGCGTAAGTACACTCTTAGGATGCTTGTACAATGATGCAATCACTAAACAATACATTTCTCAGAACGTATCTCTGTCATTAAGGGACACACGACTGTATTTCCTGTTGGGTCTTTGACCTGTTGTGGTAATGTTTATCTTATATTTATTTATCGGAATTTTTGTGTTTTATTTTTCTCTCCCCTTAAGTTTGGTTTGGACTTTTCTGATGATCTAAAGTTTTACGTTTTCCACGTAGTTAAGTTTATCTAGAAAGTTTTTTCTCTCCTTCAGATTATAAAAACATTGATCTTTTTATTTAATATATATATTTATAATTTATAATTTGTTTGGAATTTATTCTGATTTTACCTGTAAAGTAGGGATCTAACTTTGAATAGACTAATTTTCCCCACTGATGTATAATGCAATGTTTTATCAAATACTAAAATTCTGTATTAGTACATAGGTCTCTTTCTAGACTTTTGAGTAATCCTTTTGGTTTTATACCAGTATTAAATCATTTAGGCTACTGTATTTATTTGTGTGAAATAAGTCTTTCTTTTATCAGATATTTGTTTTACCTTTTAACACAAATGTAAAGGCATTAAGCCTAAGGTAAAAGGGATTCTTTTACTAAAGTTGTTTCCATCATTGAAGTGAGAAAAATGTAACCAGAGGGTGATGTGGAACTTTCCCAATGAAAAGCATTGTAGTTGAAATGCTAAAAGTTGTGCATAAAGGGAGTTTAAGTGACTTTAGTTGAACTTTATAATCTAAAAGTTTGTTTATAACAAGTATTTCTACAAGAAATGTACCTTGTATTTCTACTAAACAACTCTCTTTTAAAGCATTAGTTTTGTTCATTAATTAATAACTCCTCTTATGTTTTAATCCTAAAGTGTTTTCATTCTGTGCAGATATAGAAAACTCTTTCTCAATTTTATAATCATTAAATAAGAATTATGTTCACATAATTATAAAAATAATAGTCTTTAGTAATTTAAATGATTTTTGACATTTCTCAACAACAAACTCTACTAGAGTCTAGGAACTAGACTGAACTTTTTATTTTTTGGAGACGGAGTTTCACTCTTGTTGCCCAGGCTAGAATGCAGTGGTGTGATCTTGACTCACTGCAACCTCTGCCTCCCCAGTTCAAGAGATTCTCCTACCTCAGCCTCCCAAGTAGCAATTTTTTTTTTTTTTTTTAGCAGAAATGGGGTTTTACTATGTTGGCCAGGCTAGTCACAAACCCATGACCTTAGGTGATCCACCCACCTCAGCCTCCCAAAGTTCTGGGATTACAGGCATGAGCCACCATGCCCGGCCTAGACTGAACCATTTTTTTGAGATGGAGTTTCACTCTCGTTGCCGAGGCTGGAGTGCAGTGGCACGATCTTGGCTCACCACAACCTCTGCCTCCCGAATTCAAGCAATTCTCCTACCTCAGCCTCCCGAGTAGCTGGGATTACAGGCATGCACCACCACACCCAGCTAATTTTGTGTTTTTAGTAGAGATGGGATTTCTCCATGTTGGTCAGGCTGGTCTCGAACTCCCAACCTCAGGTGATCCACCCGCCTCGGCCTCCCAAAGTGCTAGGATTACAGGTGTGAGCCACCACGCCCAGCCTAGACTGAACTTCTTGAGAGCAGTCGGGGCTGTCTTTGTCCTTTGAATAATTTTTTTCTGTTGAATGAATATATATGCATCAGTAAATCCCCTACCCAAAGTAGGCTATCAGTATGTTTGTAGAATTGAGTTTTAAAAACTGAAATACAGTAAATAGTTTGGAAATTTAGGAAAGGTGGATATAATTTCTTGATAATGTAATGCTCTTATTTTATCTTAGGTGACCGAACTAGCAGTTGCCCAGTGATCTTCATATTAGATGAATTTGATCTTTTTGCTCATCATAAAAACCAAACACTTCTCTATAATCTTTTTGACATTTCTCAGTCTGCCCAGACCCCAATAGCAGTTATTGGCCTTACATGTAGATTGGTAAGTCTTTTTCTTCATTAAAAAAGTTGATTATAATATTTTAAAATTCAAGCTTAATTGCTGACACTACTAGTCTTTTTTCACTTATTTAGGTCATTATATTAGGCATTTTAAAAATTTTGTTTCAACAGTGCCTGGTGTATTTATCCTGCTTTTCAGTTCAAATTTAGGAAAACAGGTTAATGGTTACCTTAGCCCATTAATGAATACCTCCCTCCCCCCAGTGAAATCACTGAAGAAAAAAGTGTGAAATCAGATTATGCTAATAAATATAATTTCTACATTATCAAGTAATGAGGCAGTTAAGTAATCCCACCAGTATTTGAGAAAACTTGGTAATAGTTTTTGTTGTAAGATTTTTTTTCCATATTTTGAACAGGATTGAAATCAACTCTAAATAATACTATTCCAACTTTCAAAGTACACGTCTCCAGAAATGGAAGAGATTCTACCAAGCACTGACAGTAGATAGTGGCTTTTTCATTCCATGGGATATTTTAGAATGATTTTAACTATAGTCTCAATATCACTATCACTTTGCTTTGTGAAGGCTCTGTACATATTGAACCATGTGTACCTTTGGACAGCTATACAGGCCTTTTTGTGTTTACCTTCTTACATACTTGTAGCATGAACTTCCTTACTGAATTCAGATAAACTGGCATTGAAGAGTGCCTTGGCCCATTTTGTGTTGCTATAACATAATACCTGAGACGGGTAATTTTTAAAGAAAAGAGGTTTATTTATCTCACAGCTGTGCAGGCTGAGAAATTCAAGGGCATGGCACTGGATTTGTTGCAAGGGCTTTCATGCTGCATGACATGGTGGAAGGTCAAATGGGGAGCAGATATGTGTAAAAACGAACCAGATGGGAGTTGGAACCTCAATTTATAACAACTCGCTGTCTCAAGAACTAATCTATCCCCATGAGAACAAGAACTCAGGCCAGTAAGAGGGCATTAAATCTATTCATGAGGGTCCACTCCAGTGACCTCCCACTGTTGCACTGGCAATTAAATTTCAACATGAGATTTGGTGGGGACAAACCACGTCCATACCATAGCACAGTTATCTCTTTTCTCATGCTATAACTGGTGTCTCCATAGCTTGCTTGCCATCCTCTTCCCCCTCCATTCTCCACAGACATATTCAGGCACATGTATACATTCACATCTCCTTTCGTACAGCCCTTTTTCTTTTTCAGAAAAGTGAAACTTTTTACTAATTCATATTTTAACAGTCCTCCTTCCAGTGCTGTTTCTCTATAGAGTCACTGTCATTTGCCCCTCTTTTCCCTGTGCTCTAGAGCTTATGATGTATGGCTTTAGTATAAACTCCCCTCATACATCACTGGCTGGTGCTCCACATATCTTTATTCCTCCTTGCCAAAAGCAGCAGGCTATGACAAGGATCAAAGAAGTACCCTCCTTCTTGCCAAAAAAAAAAAAAACAAAAAATCTTCCTTTGGGTGGAAGCGGCTGTGGCAAGTGTTGTTGACCCGATGAAGAACCAAATAAAATGTCAGTAACTTCTTAGCAGTGTTATCAGATGTTCTTTTTTTATTGTGTATATATATAATTCTCCAACTGTGTAGTTCTTTCAAGTGTAATCTTTTTTCTTTCTTTCTTTCTTTCTTTTTTTTTCTTTTTTTTTTGAGATGGAGTCTTGCTCTGTCGCCAAGGCTGAAGTGCAATGGCATGATCTCAGCTCACTGCAACCTCCACCTTCCGGGTTCAAGCAATTCTCCTGCCTTAGCCTCCCGACTAGCTGGGATTACAGCCACACACCACCATGCCTGGCTAATTTTTGTAGTTTTGGTAGGGACGGGGTTTCACCATGTTGTCCAGGCTGCTCTCAAAACTCCTGACCTTGTGATCCGCCCCCCTCGGCCTCCCAAAGTGCTGGGATTACAGGTGTGAGCCACTGCGCCTGGCCTCAAGTATAATTTTATCTGTGTATCCATGTTTATAGGGAGAGATATATAGAGGGAGTAGTGACTTTGCCAGCAAGCATCTTCTTCCCCATTGGGAGTAATTCCATTTTTGTTTTTTGGTTTTTTTTTACTAGTTCCTTTATGCCCACATTGCCAACTTCTGTCATTACTGCCTACTACAAAGACATTATTTACTTCCATCTCTTTTCATTCCCAAATTTAGGGTCTTAATTGTTGCTTGTATTGATATTACTTCTACTGTCTACCTATATGGGTGACCTAGAACTCTTTCTTAATAGAAAATAAATGTGCAATATCTGAATCTCTGAATATAACCTTTCTTCTCTTTTAATTCTCATGCTGGCACTATACTTTTCTTTGACCTCGTAAAAACATTCAAAATTTTTTATTCACCCTCGTGCCTCCTACCTCAGGCTGTTAGTCTTTCTTGTCCTCCTTCCCAGACTAACCATGATCCCATTTTGATCACTTGAATTCTTTCCTCTATATCATGATTTCTTGACCTAGGTATTATGAGAGTCATCTTGCTAGATGTTGAAATGTATAGTTCTGGGCTTAAACTACTCCCCTTTTAAAAAACTTTATTCTATAACATTTTAACAATATACATAAGAAAGAATAAATAATAAGCCCTGAATTCCCTTCTCCACTCCTTGCCAAGATTCAATTACTACAGACTAGTTTTATTTATCCTCAACATCTCCCTTAATTCCTGTATTATTCTGAGGCAAAAACTAGGCATTATATCATTTTATCAGTAAGTGTTTTAGAATGTATTTTTAGGAAATAAGGGCTCTCTAAAAATATATTTCCCTAATATAATTGTTATATTAGCTGTAATTCCTTAAATAATATGTATTATTTAAGTTACGCTCCAAGGTATACAACCAAGACAAATGAAACCAGGTAACTACAAAAAAAGTGTATGTGAATGTTTGTAGTGGTATTATTTTTAATAGCTTAAGAAATGTAAACAACAGTGACATCATGTTCATATTTGGGGGTGGGGGCTTTTTAAAACAGCTTTATTGAGATGTAATTTATACCATACAGTTCACTCATTTAAATTATACAGTTAACAGGGTTTTTATTTACAGAGTTGTGCATTTATCACCACAATTTAAGAGCCACATACCTTTTAGCAGTCACCCCAAATCCCCTGTTCCCTCCACAGCCCTATGCAACCACTAATCTACTAATCCACTTTCTGACTGTATAGTAATTTTTGAATCATACAACGTATAGTTTTGTGTGACTGGCTTCTTTAACATGTTTTCAGGGTTGATCTGTGTTACAGCATATATCAGCCCTTTATTCCTTTCTATTGCCAAATAATATTCTGTTGTATAGATATACCACACTTTGTTTATCCATTCATCAGTTGATGGACATTTGGGTTGTTTACATTTCTGAAGCTATTAAAAATAGTACTGCTGCAAACATTCACATACACTTTTTTTGTAGTTACCTGGTTTCATTTGTCTTGGTTGTATACCTTGGAGTGTAACTTAAATAATATATATTATACTATACTATATATGTAGATGTATATATACATATATAAATTATATATATTATATACATTATACTGTGTACTATAATATATTTTGAAAAATTCCTCAAGTTCAATATTAAAAAGAGATTTAGGAATGACAGTTCCTGCAATTTATGTGACTTAGGAAGACAACTTACCTATTGTGCTTTTGATATCTTGGATAGTTTGAATGCCTATCAGTTTTGTGGAAGTATTTTCTTCATTTAAGAACACTTCGTATGTCCTTGCAAGCAGTACATATTAGTTATCCTTTGGTTTTTAGTGTTCTTTGATGGTAAATTTGATTCCTGATTTCTTCCTAAGGAAAAATAGTACAAATACAAATAAAGTCTAAAAGCATTACTATAAAAAATAAAAATAAAAAATAAAAAGCCGGAAGATAACTTACAAATGCCATGTAGCATTTCTGGCACTTTCCTCTCCTAAAGTTGGTTTCTGCTACCTATCATGCTATTAATTTTTTAATCTCAGTTCTTCATAGAATGTACAGAATTCCTTACTGACACTCTTGTTGTTACTGTGACATATAGCTATTTAATATAGTCAGTTTTTTTAAACAATCGTATTGGGTCTTGGAATGTTACAGATTAGCTGAGAGTAACATGGTAGGAAAAAGGCATGACATCACCAGGCCAGCAGTTGCCTGGAGGGGGATTATTTAGTTTGCATGAAATGTTTTAAATGTTTAATTATGTGTTATAGACTAAACATTACTAATTATAGGTGATAGTTTACTTATATCTCTAATATTGGTACAGTTTTTTTTTTTTTTAAACATTCATCTTGCTTATAGAGATTTCTGTTTGTTTTTAAGGATATTTTGGAACTCTTAGAAAAAAGAGTGAAGTCAAGATTTTCTCACCGGCAGATACACTTAATGAATTCATTTGGTTTTCCACAGTATGTTAAAATATTTAAAGAACAGTTATCTCTACCTGCAGAATTTCCAGACAAGCTTTTTGCTGAGAAGTGGAATGAAAATGTTCAGGTAACTTAAAGGCAATAAAACTAAATGTTCCTTGCTATATGATTTAAAGCAATTAAAACACAAATTTTAGAAATTAGTAGATTAACACAGTTTCTAATATTGCTGAGGGATAAAGCTACAGGAATACAAATTATATGCTTTTTTAAAATTTTCTTGTAACAGTTGAAATGTCATATCTGCTAAGTTCTATCTCAAAAGAACATTACAGTTAAGCTTTGGGATTTATGTTATTAGTTTGAAGTAAACTTTAATGAGGCTTTAGTTTTATCTATATGTGGTTTATATTTCAGATAATTTTATTAGTGAATTTGCATAATTTACTTTTATATTTTACATATTTAGCAATAATAATAAATAGTAAATAATGATAAATAAATGTTAGTGATTCATACCTATTCTGTGTGGATTTTTTTTCTTCCAGTTTTCATTAGCAATTTCAGCTTTTACTTTGTTGGGCCTTAAGAGGCAGCACAGACTGTGGCACCTCCGGTTATATTATCTATTAGGTGATCACATCTCTCGGTCCCTGGAGACCTGAGAATCTTAGATACAAAGGCAGGTTCATATGTTGTTTTAAAGATTTGCCACACCTTTGAGACTACAAATTTACCTGTGCTTAAAATATTCTCAACACACTAGCATTTTAATCTTATGCTGTCAAGAAGCTTCAGTTGGCAAAGAGAAAGGAGGAAGTATGCATGTGTATGTGTATTTAATAACATAATTGAAAAACATTGTTAATGAATAAGTCCCTTATGGTAGAATCTCAAAAAATATTGGCCTCGTGAGAGTGGAAGATAATATGGAGTCCCTGGCTCTGAAGGAATTGGGAAAAATTGATTGATAATATTAAAATACTGGTAAGGATAATTAGATCTTTGAATAGAATTACACAGTCTATATTCAGTGACTCTATAAAAAAGATTGTTTTATTTTAAAGCAGTAGTGGTAGATTGTATTTTTTTTTTTTTTTTTTGAGATGGAGTCTTGCTCTGTTGCCCAGGCTGGGGTGCAGTGGCGTAATCTCGGCTCACTGCAAGCTCCGCCTCCCAGGTTCACGCCATTCTCCTGCCTCAGCCTCCTGAGTAGCTGGGACTACAGGAGCCTGCCACCACGCCCAGCTAATTTTTTGTATTTTTAGTAGAGACGGGGTTTCATGCGTTAGCCAGAATGGTCTCGATCTCCTGACCTTGTCATCCACCTGCCTCAGCCACCCAAAGTGCTGGGATTACAGGCGTGAGCCACCACACCTGACCTCAAGTAGATTGTGTTTTTACCATGAATTCTTACATACTAATACTAAATTGGAAGCATTTTGCATTTAGTTTGTTCTTTAAATGATTATTGTTTTGATTATAAAATATAGTCTGCTCATGTAAGCACTATTAATTTTGACACATTTCATTTTTTAAAAAAGTCGTAAAAGTTTATTGAACAAAATGTAATCAGTGCAAAAAAATACATGATAAACAGTGGAAGTTTCCCATAAGACTATATCAATTCTCCTTCCTTCTACTATGGAGTAATTATTTGGTCTATAACATTGCAGAGTTTACATGCATGCTAAATATATTGTTTTTACGTAAAGGACTCAAAGCCTACATATGTTTATATTACTTTTTCCCATTGTTATGACTGATAATTCCTTGTTCTTTTTCTTAATACAACTATACATAATTGTATGTAAAAATAGCTCACATTATCTTTAAAATTCAGATACTATGCCTTGATATAATTAGGTATGGATCCTCCCTTCCACTCAAATTAATCATTCCTGAGACTTGGATAGTTCAATTACCTGAGCCAAGTGTCTTTGATACTATTTCTAATTATAGGATTCCATCTATAGGAGCACTTTCTTTGTAGTTGGTACTCCCACATTGTCCCCTCTTACCGGGGTCTGGTATGGACCAGACCTCTGGATCTTCAGCTTTTAGATCTACTTTTTAGTGCTTCACAGACTTTCATCTTCTACAACTCCTGAACTGATTGTCTTATTCCACCAGTATATTTTTCTGGCTGTTTTAGAGATGCAAATGTAGTCTTTCATAGTATTTAAATTTCTGTACTTTACATGGGCTCTTATTTTTTCCATACCTGCTCACACTTAATCTTCCTAAGGTAACTACATGGTCCAGGTTGCATTGTGCCATTTTCCATCCACCGTCCTTCCCAACTGTATTGCATTCTGAGCATCTCAAAGTGGGGCTGTAAATAAAGAGGATGCTGGGAGTTACTGGTGAAGAAGTATAACTCTGCATGACTTAGGAAATGGTAACTATATGTTAATAGTGTAACTACTCTACTTTCTGGACTTTTGTTGCAGACCTTAAATCCCCTGAATGTGAGCACTATCCTGTCATCTTTTTGACAGTCTTAATAGTCCATTTCATTAAGTAGAAGCAGCATCACTGGTGTTTGTGTCTCTGAGTTCTAATATTTTCTTCCCCTATCTTGATTATCTTATGCCTCTCTTTGGTATGTGAATAAAATGAGCTTCACTTGAAAAATCTGTCAGCACCATGGTCAGAGTCCCTGCCTTGTGGAGTAGGGTGGTAGCTGCATTAAGGGAGCTATTCTTTCTCTTAGTGCTGATTATCCAGGAAGTTATTTTTAATGGCAAGATTAAGCCAATAGCAGTGATACAGATAACAGGTCACACATGGAATCTCATCCACAAAATATCTTCAGGATAAGATGGAACCTTAATATCCTGCCTAATTTGAAGGTTTGTTTTAGCCCTACTTCAAATGAGTCAAATAAGTAAGCAGAGTAGACTCTATCTTAGCATGGCAGTATAAGAGAGATCCTTTAAAAAGAACATTTAAAAGAATCATACCTTATTCTCCTCAAATGAAATCTACCAAAGTACTGTAGCTCATGTGGTTGTTGATAATAGCCTTATCCTCAAATAGGGTATAGTGTTTGAATCAAGATGGATTTAAAAATATAATAAACGATGTTAGACAATTTTTTTTTTGTTTAAATGGCTCATGTAGATAAGGTAGGCATTTTAAAAAGCAGAGTAAGTAATTATAGAAGCAAGAAGGTGATAGCTTTTAGAAAGAGGGGGGACTGGAGTCAAACCACTAATAATAAAAAGATAAAGTAGGAAGATGGAGTATAGAAGATTAACCTTTGAAGCATCATGTCAAAAAGAGGCAAATACAGGTTTTAAAAATAATTGATTCTTGCAGAGAAAATTTCTTAAATCAATTTTGTCCCAGGTGGATTTTCTTTAGTTTTCCTAAGTGCTCCGATTTTACCACATCAACTTTTACAAGTTACAGATTACAGAAGCAAAGACTATAGTTTGCCTGTGATATTTAGCCACATATCTTCCATATTTCAATTTTAAAACTGTGGAAAAGCTAAACAAATTTTAATTTCCAGAAGTTATTTTTTTTTATGTTCACCCTGTGTACTTCCAAGGAAATTCTACCCTGTTTGTGATAGAAAAAGATATATATAGTAACCAGAAGTCCTTTAAAATACAAAGACTAGAAACAATAGCAAGGGAGTGGGAACTATAATTAATAATATGTTTCCTGAGAGTATAAAATTTCATTCCAGTAGACTAGAACTTACTTCTGAATCTGGTCTTCTTAGAGTGGACAAAGTAAAGACATGTAATTCAGCTCTAGAAAATACAGAAATGCTTAGTCTTCTGGGGTTTTTTTGTTTGTTTTTTTAAGAAAAAAGAATTCTTATTCCATGCAGATAATTTTTGAAAAATTATGTCGATCTTTTCCAGGCCTTTCTTGGCTCTGCTACCTCTGAATTTACTCTCTTTTCATCTAATCCTTTCTTCAATGCCAATGTGCCTCACCTTCCATTCAACCCTAATATACTGCAGTCACTTGCCTCTTTAGATGTTGCTTTCTCAAAAGGCCCTGGTGACCTTTGAATTTCTAAAGCCATTAGCCTCTTCTCAAATATATCTTAATGTTACAAAGTAGTTCATATTGTTGAACCCCACTTCTCTCTTAAAACTTTCTTCCCTTGTTTTCTAGATCTCTGCTGTGTCTTAGATTCTCTTCCAGTCTTTGGTATTTTTCTTACTTTCTTAGTTTTTCTCTTTTCCCACCTACTACTTAAATATTGATAATCCAAGATTCATTTCTTGAGCACATTTCACTTTTCACAGGCCATTTTGTTTCCCATAGATTATCTTTGATTTTTATCTTCTACCTTTCAAACCCTTCCTTCTCTTCTGCTACCAGTTAATTCTCTACCAGATATATCTCCTATAAGTGTCTTAATTCTCTTTTGTCTTCATTACCACTCAGATAGTTCAGACCCTCCTTACCTCTTGTCTGGACAGCTACCTCCAATTAGGTTTTTCTGCCTTTGTCTTTTTGTACATTCACTTTGCCAGTAACTGAAACTCCAGTACGTGACTACTCATTTTCTGCCAATATGTGATAATTTTCCTACTACTCATGCTGTTCCCTGTAACTGGAATGCTCTTCCTTCTTTTTTAAATCTCTTGTCTCATCCAGTTTAAGCATTATTTGTAGTGCTTTACCTTGTTTCCCTAGGTACAGTAACTCATGCGCTTGTGTTTTTGTGCTGCATTTTGTTCATTTCACTGGTATTACTGTAGTTTCCTTTATTCAAGTAGGAATTTGGGGTTAGCAAGGATTGTTTTATCATTGTGTTTATTGAATTAATGTAAAGAACAGGATAAGGAAATCAGTAGACTGGAAACTTTATTTTGGTTTTAGTGTTCTACAAATAAGACCAACATCTATTTAATAATAAATTAATATTAGATAGCATTAATAAGGCACACCAACCAGTAAGGCACAGGATTATATTTGGGTTTTAAACTACATCTTTCCTCAATTTTGTCTTCCCCCCCCCCCTTAGTATCTCTCAGAAGATAGAAGTGTGCAAGAAGTACTACAGAAGCATTTCAGTATCAGCAAAAACCTGCGGTCATTACACATGCTATTGGTTTGTATTCGTTTTGTTTTATTGCTTGTTGCTTTGTTTTTGTTTTTGTTTTTGATAGTGATGGGGTCTTACTTTGTTGCCCAGACTGGTTGCGAACTCCTGGCCTTAAGCCATCCTCCTACCTCTGCCTCCCTAAGTGCTGACATCACAGGCATCAGCCACTGTGCCTAGCCTACTTTTATCATTTTCTGTCTTTCACTAGATAATTAAGTTTTTATGGGAATTGATTAAACCTGTAGGTAAATTTTGGGAGAATCGACATGCATTGGAACACTACATTGAGTGTTCCAATCTCTGAATAGGGTTCATATCTCCTTTTATTTGATTTCTTGTTTGATTACTTTCATCAGCATTTTATAGCTCTAACTACACAGATGATGTAGTTATTTAATGTGTATACCAGTATTTAATTTGTTAGAACAATTGTAAATGGTGTTTTGAAGTTTTGGTTTCCCACATATTCATTACATATAGAATATGTGATTGATTACATATATACACTTTAATATATAGAAATGTGATTGACTTTTGTGTGTTGATCTTATAGTCTATGCTGAACTCACTTATTCTAGGAGGTTTTTTAATAGATTCCTTAGGACTTTTGATGTAGACCATTACATTTTTCACAAATAGTGACTTTTTTTTTCTTTCCAATCTGTATGCCTTTTATTGCTTTCCTTGCTTTTTTGCAATGACTAGAATTTCCAGTGTTATGCTGAATTAGAACAGTGAGAGAGGACATCCTTTCTTGTTCCCAGTCTTAGGAAGAAAGGATTCAAACTTTTACCATTAAGTATGATGTTAGCTATAGGTTTTTAATACATGGTCATTATCAGGTTGAGGTAATCCTCATCTGTTTGTAATTTGCTGAGAGTTTATTATACATGGGTGTTGGATTTTGTCAAGTGCTTGTTCTTGATTGTTTCACATGATCATATTTCTCTTTAACCTGTTGATATATTTGATTACATTATTTTTTGAGTGTTGAACCAGCCTTATATACCTGGAATAAATCCTACTTGGTTATGATGTTTTGCCAAGTAATTATGTCTTAAGCTTACATAATACCAGTATCAAACAAGAAGTACTTAATTGTTCTGAAAATTAACTTTCTTCACTAAGAGTAATTTGGTTTTAGTCTAATATTTCTAGAAAATTATGGCAGATACCTTTGAAAGAGAAGATAGTTTTGGTTTCACAGAAAAGTCATTTTTAATAATAATGATAGAATAATAATGATAGTAGCTACCATTTATTGACCAGCATATGAGCCAAGTATTGTAGATACTAGTAGTACCTATATTATGTCTGACCATTGGAATAATCTTATTTTTTATTCTTACCCCTAAAGAAATTCAGGCTCCTTAAAGCTTAATAACTTGCCCAAGGTCACATTACTAGTAGATAACAAAGCCAGGACTTAATTCAAAGCTCTCTGGCTTCAAGTTTGTGTCCTACTTGGCTGTATGGTTCACCCATGTTTACATACAAGTTTTCTTTCCTCATTGCTGTTTTTGCTGAGGAAAGTTGTCTTTTTATCCCTATTTACTTTCCCTCTATTGTCAAAAGCATACTGCCATTTTCAGCAACAACTGTCTTTATCATGAAGGAATTTGAGGACTAGTAATTTTTAGAGGAGGTATGTGTGTGTATATATGTATCTCCATCCCGGAAAATATCTCTGCCTCAATATTGTCAATATTAATGACCATTGTTCTGCCATTTTTCTATTAATTTTTAATTCCTGGTAATTAATTAAATAATGGCTTGTTTTTTGTCGTATGGGATTCTACTTTGAGGGCTGCTTACTCATATTCTTAGCTCATCCCATTATTGGTTGTCATTGTCTTACTGTGGAAGCTCATTATAGATTACAGATTTTCGGCCTCTCCAGTAACCAGAGAAATACTACAATTAAACTTTTTTTCTTGCCAATCTAGTGGCAGGGTTAAAGGTTATGCTTGATGGTATCGTGACTGACTTAAAATTTATCACTGCTGCCAACATAAATATGTGTAAGTGCTTTGGAGAGCAATTTAGCAAATTAGTTAACTAGAGAAAGATACTTATACTAGAGAAACTCTGGTTACCTAATGCACAGGAAGACGTGTCCAAGGTTGTTTATTGCAGTCTTGTTTATAATTGGGGAAAAAAAAGAAATGACAGATGTCTGTCAATAGGAAATTAGCAAATGAATAATTGTGGGTATATACAAAGAAATACAACAAAAAAATGAATAAACCAAAATTGATACTGCCTCAACATGGATAAAACCTCATAGTGAAGAGAGTTGTGAAAGTGTATTTATATAAAAGTTGAAAATTACTCTGTTGTATAATACATGTATATGTAGAAGTATATAGTATTAGGTTGGTGAAAAGTTACCATTACATTCAGTGCCAAAAATGGCAATTACTTTTGCACCAACCTAATAGTGTAGACATGCTTGGTTGTTTTATGTGGGGAAGAGTAGAGTCCCGTCTGGAGGAGATGGACTCTAAGATCATTTTCTTAAGCAGGGAAAGTAGTCATGGATATTTAATTTATTATTCTCTGTTGCCTTTGTATATGTTAAAAAAAAATTTCTTATGCCTTTGCATCCTCATAGCTTAGCTCCCACATATCAGTGAAAACATATGATGTTTGGTTTTCCATTCCTGAGTTACTTCACTTAGAATAATAGTCTCCAGTTTCATCCAGGTCATTGCAAATGCTGTTAGTTCATTCCTTTTTATGACTCTGTAGTATTCCGCAGTATATATATACCACAGTTTCTTTATCCACTCGATTGATGGGCATTGGGGTTGGTTCTACGATTTTGCAGTTGTGACTTGTGCTGCTATAAACATGCGTGTGCAAGTATCTTTTTCACATAATGACCTCTTTTCCTCTGAGTAGATGCCCTGTAGTGTGATTGCTATATCAAATGGTATTTCTACTTTTAGTTCTTTAAGGAATCTCCACATTGTTTTCCAGTGGGGCGAGGGATAAGACTACAAATATGATGCAGTGTATACTGCTCGAGTGATGCGTGCACCAAAGTCTCACAAATCACCACTAAACAACTTACTCATGTAACCAAATACCATACCACCCGTATGACAATAACTTATGGAAAAATGAAATTAAAAAATAAAAATTAAACAAAATCCATAATTAAAGGAAAAAGGAAAAGAGAAAGAGAGGGAGCACTGGCAATCTAGGTCCCAACCAGTAGGAGAATGAAGGACAAGGATTGCCAGACTCTTTGCCCAGCTAATCAATTGGCGCCTTGCGCCCTGGTTAAGGTGGAGGAGAGAGTTTCTTGGGTAATTAAATCCCAAATATTGCATGGCACATACTTATACTAAGAAACTATTGTTTATTTGAAATTGAAATTTAAGGAGAGGTCATGCATTTTTATCTGGTAAATCTTCTAACCCTAAATGACCAAATTTAACTTTTATGAAAAATACAAATAAGGAAGAAAGGAAATCTTCAAATACTTGAGTAGCAGCTCTGCTCCAGGACCTCTGTTCATTTTTGGAAACTAAAGAAGCAGCACAAGAGAAGTAGACTCTGCTTTCAAGGGGAGTTATTCCTGAGTATAAATGTGCTATTTTTTTTCTCTTTTGTATAACTGAACATAAAGCAGCTAACTGCTATCTAAATTAACACTAACCTGGCTGGATGATTAGGTGGTGAAAAAGTTAACAAGGCATAGATCTGCCTTTTGGACTTGTGTTTGGGGCTTTTATTAGTAAGTATTCTTAATTATTTTCAGTTTCTTCTCCTTGACCTACTCCTCTTTAAATATTGTTCTTCCGAACATTAAGTAAACAAGTTATGCAAGTGGGATGGGCTAGAGAGAGCAGCAAAAACTTTTTTTATGCTTTACATCTGCAGTTATGTGACACAAATTGAAATACTGTGTTTTAATAGAACTGAATTTGAGAATACCTTCCTCAGCATTAATATTTACTCTCCCTTAAGAATTGACTATACAAATTCAGAAGTTTTGCACAGTAGTATCTCCAAAATGCCCATGTAAAAACGTAATTGTTTTTCTGATCCACATTTCCCTAGATGCTTACTTTAAATCGAGTAACAGCATCACACCCATTTATGACTGCCATAGATCTAATGGAAGCAAGTCAACTGTGTAGCATGGACTCAAAAGCAAATATTGTACATGGTAAGAGCCCAGCCTTATTTTTTAAATTGTGGTTTTTAAAACTTTGAATTTAGATAATGGAATGTTTTTAAAATTACAGTAAACATGGGCATAATACTTTATAAAATACTTTTCTATCCATATAGCCTTTAACTTAGTCCTTTTGAAGGTACTATCACTCCCATTTAAAGTGAAAAAAAAAAATTTGACACTCTGCCTCTTTTGCCACATTGGAAATCCAGGTAAGACTACGTTGCTGATGTTATCATTGTATCAAGAGCTACTGAAGAGCATTCGCTGGGTTTCAGCCATTTTGGGTTCGTTATTTCCTTTTGCAAACGTAATGAACCTTTTCCTCTCCAGGGGGAGAAAAGGAATACACATATTTGGATATAATTTCCAGTTTAGGAAGTCTCTGGATAAATCCTATCCAAAGGCCCTGTGTGATTTAAAGTCACATAAAAATTGAAGTTTATTTTGTTTACTGTGAGCCATATGGTGAGTGCTTAATAATATTGTCGCTAATCTTTGTGACATTTCTAAAAGTTTAAAAATATCCTTATTTTGCAGATATGGAAAACTAAGCACAGGGAGGTGAAGTAACTTAAATTTATATAGATAATAGTGATTGGAACACATTTGAAATCTAGAATCTTGACCTTCTTCACCCCTCAAAACCATAGATCTTTCACTATATTTAAATTCTCAATAATTTGTAGCTGCTCATTTTTGAATTTTCAATAATGAAGTATTTTGCTATTTGGAGAACAGTTTTTTCAGTCTTATGTGTCATTAAACTGATAGTTTTTTTCCCTTTTACTATAGGTCTATCAGTCTTGGAAATCTGTCTTATAATAGCAATGAAACATTTAAATGACATCTATGAGGAAGAGCCATTTAATTTTCAAATGGTCTATAATGGTGAGATGAGACTTAAGTAGCTTTTTTCTGACTCTTCCCCACTGCTTATTTGAAGGTATAATGTTGTCATTGCTTTCTACCCAGAGTTTCAGAAGTTTGTTCAAAGGAAAGCACATTCTGTTTATAATTTTGAAAAACCTGTTGTCATGAAGGTAAGATTTAGTTTGCTATTTTTCTACAGACAAGTATATTTTTTACATCCAATTTGATTATGTATTAAAATTGCACTTTCATTTTTAAATATTAAGTATTATAGAGATTTTTTAAAAACAATTATCTAAAAATGAAATATTTTGAAAAAATCTGAGGAAGTGACCAGTTGTTTTAGTTTGTGGAGGTATACTGCCCTCTGCTGTCTCTTCATAGCACTTGCATCCTGAAAACAACTATTCAGTATAGTGTGTGATACAACCTTTCCCTTTCCAACCCAAGGATTGATTGGCTTTTATAATCGCAGCAGTAAAAGAAAAAAAATGAAAATAAGAGCCATTAAGAAACTTAAAAGACAAAATCTCACTGGCCTGTGAGGGGATACAGACAAAGTGTTATTTGGGGGCTGAGTCATGAGTTTTACAACTTCAGGACTTCATGTAGATTACCATTGTCCACTACAAAGATAATGTGAGCCATGTAATGTAGTTTTAGATTTTCTAGTACCTGTAAGAAAAAAGGTGTAATTTTAATTATATATTATATTTAATTCAACATATCAAAAATGTGTCATTCTATAATCATAGAAAAACAAAGTATTTTCCATTCTTTTGAATTAAGTCTTTAACATTTGGTGTACATTTATACTTACAAAGCACATCTCAGTGGCCTAAATATTCACTGGAAATTCTTGCTGTTTAGATTCCATAAAATTTGTAGCTGAGAAAGTAAATTTACATTTTGAAATTGTTCTAAACATGCTTAGAATTTTTTAATAGAATTAAATATCCATTTTTAAGTTTAAATAAAAATTGAGTCACCATTGAAATGCTGAGTAGCCTAGTGTGGACAGTGCAGCTCTTGAGGATTTTAAGGAATGAAACTTTTTTAAAACAGTGGATCCCCAAGTCCACTGGCATCCCTTGTAGGCCCTAGTAATCAGAATTTCATTTCCTGTAGCAACAAAAATGAGTACAGGGCACTGCCATTTCTTCAAAGAAACAGGAAAAGTATTTTACAATACTGGATGGTTTTTTTCCCCTAATAGTCTTATTTTGTGAGAGTTGTGAAAATGGAAAGGTTACCCAAGTATTTAAATTTTTTGAGTTTGTTTGTTTTTTGTTTTTTGAGATGGAGTCTCCTTCTGTTACCCAGGCTGGAGTACAGTGGTGGGTGCAATCTTGGCTCACTGCAACCTCTGCCTCCCGAGTTAAGCGATTCTCCTGCCTCGGCTTCCTGAATAGCTGGGATTACAGGCGTGCACCACCATACCGAGCTAATTTTTGTATTCTTAGAGACAGGGTTTCACCATGTTGGTCAGGCTGGTCTCTAACTCCTGACCTTGTGATCTGCCCACCTCGGCCTCCCAAAGTGCTGGGATTACAGCCTTGAGCCACTGCGCCCGGCCTGCATTTAAATTCTCAATAATTTGTAGCTGCTCATTTCTGAATTTTCAATAATGAAGTATTTTGCTATTTAGAAATGTTTTAAATCTGCATAGTTCTATTCAGCTCTAACACCTGCAGCCTCCAGTATTTTCTCATTTGCAGATATGAAGGTATCTGAGCTGTTTCTCTATCAGAAGAATTTATGTGATACATAGAGAATATGCTCCAGTGATGTTTTTTACAGTGAGTTGTAAGAATATAATAGAATCCTCAGGAATCTATTTCAGTGTATTGTTATTTAATGGTTAGTATATCATGATTTAATGGTTTCAGTTTTTTTCATACCCTAATAACGTACCTAACACAACACTGAAGGTCAGAAAAGATACAATACGTGAATATTAAGGATAAGAGGAAGCAGACAGGAAAGAGCCCTATTAAGATGGGGAAAATGGAAGAATGTTGTGACAGTCTCAGTCTGACTTCTTAGAGGAAACAGGAGCCTGTCCCCTCTCCATGTCCATACCACCCTGTTGAATCCTTTACTTACAGGATCAGCTGAATATGCCTAGTTGACTCAAGGGTCTTTTTCTGCCTCCCTCTTTGTTACAGTTGTTAACTTTTTACATAGCAAAGCAAAGGTAGAGACAGACAAAATATAAATGCAAATCTGAGTAGCTTAGGTAATCGATCAGAAAGTCGTATCTGATTCTTAGGTTTTTACAGACAACTGGAAACACTTTATTAATTAAAGTACTAGGAGGAACTATGATAGAGAATGAGGCCAGGAAGAAAACCGTTATTGTATATATTGAATTAAAGTTTGCCATATTTATATTCAACAATATATGGACAAGTAAGTGTGCATTGACACTGTTTTACCTGATAATAGAGTTTTTTATGGGGTTGTGAGAGTTTTTTTAGTCCTGTTGATAGTTGTTAGTTTGTTTCCCAGTACTCTGTTCTGCAGCTGACCAAAACACTAACTGTTCTCTGGGAGAGACCAGGAGAGTTGTTACTCTCCTCTCCTATTCAACCTAAACTATTTCTTTCATCTTTCAGGCTTTTGAACACTTGCAACAATTAGAATTAATAAAGCCCATGGAAAGAACTTCAGGAAATTCACAGAGAGAGTACCAGCTGATGAAACTGCTTTTGGATAATACTCAAATTATGAATGCTCTGCAGAAATATCCCAACTGTCCTACAGATGTGAGGCAGTGGGCAACATCCTCACTGAGCTGGTTATGAATATAATCAGTGACTTCAACTTTGGCATTTCATTCATACTTCTGTAGAGAACGAAAAACTATTGTCCTTTAACATGATAATACTAAACATTCTATAAATATTTTTGTATTTATGTGAGACTTGCATGTCTACTGTCTTGGCTGTGTCTTGCCTTTTAATCATGAACAGTTACATGATTTATAACTTCAGTAATTGAGATTACTTTGTAAGTAGCAGTTCAGAAGAATAAAATATGACTGTTTTAGGGACTAGACCATGTGCTTTTTTAACACTTATATATATAATGGTCTATTTGAAGAGCTCACTTCAACCTAACAGCTAGATGTCTTTACAAACCTTAAACCAAAGGAGTAAAAAAACAATCGTAACAACTGAAGTATAAGTAACCTTTGGTACAGTAGGTTTGCTGCAGGGTTTTTTTCTGTCCACAAGCAAATTTTGGATTCTATCCCAGACTCAGGTTTTCTAGTTCAGGAGACTAACCAGCTTAGTCAGAAGATGGTTCACATGGAAGGAAAAGGCCAAGGAGTTTGAAGATTTTTCTTCTAGATATCTCAAAATGTGGTACTCATACCATCCACATCAGAATCCCTTGTAGGATTTTCTAAAATTACAGATTGTTGAGCTTACCATAGGTCAAAAGGATTGGAATTTGCCTTCTTAACAAGTATAGTCATGGCACCACATAACATTTTGGTCCGTGACATTGTATATATGAGGGTGGTCTTGTAAGACTGTACCATATTTTTACTGTACCTTTTCTATGTTTGAATATACAAATGTTTACCAGTGTGTTACAGTTGCCTACAGTATTACAGTAACATTCTGTACAGCATTGTAGCCTAAGAGTAATAGGCTAGGCTGTATGTATAGCCTAGGTGTGTAACAGGCTATATACCATCAGGGTTTGTGTAAGTACACTCTGTGATGTTCATCCAATGATGAAATCACCCAGAGACACATTTCTCAGAACATAGCCCCATCATGAAGTGACGTGACTGTACCAGAGATTTCTGGAAAAGCACTCCCAAAAGTAATGAGACATGTATGGCAATGTTAACTGAACCTGTATCAAACAGTAAATCCCTGAGGAATGTGGAAATGTCAGTAAAAGCATTGTCTTTTAAGTAAGTTCCAAGATCCATGAATTAACAGAGGCATATATTTAAAATGAAATTTAATAAGCACTTAAGTGACTTCATTTGTTCAAGAATATTTGATTGCCTACTGTGTGCATGGGAGGTTTACAAAAGACAGACTGTCCCTATGCTTGTGCAGCTTACAATCCATTTAACTGTTAGAGGCCCTGTGAGATGTAGGTACTGTTATTTACAGATTAGAAAACTAACAAAGCAGTGGCAATGCTGGGAATAGCCAGCAGGCTTGGAATTCAACTCAGTTTAACACCAAAGGCAGTGCTATTAAAACCTGAGGTTCGACAGTGGATTCCTTACCAAATAGTTTTTAAAGTATGCTCTAAGGCACAATGTTTTAATGAAATCTTGGATACAAAGTGGAATAAAAAATTCCTGTGCATAAAAGTAGCTCTTCAGTAGTTACAACATATTCTTTTGCATACATAGCCTTTCCTTCCCTGCAAAAAGTCAAACCTTCTAAGTATTCAGATCCCTGTCATTTACTTTTCAGCAGTCTCATTCAGGCTAAGGCTTGCATACTGATTCTGTGCCATAGTCTACACATTTTTAGGGGATATTTCACCAAAATACTTAACATGGTAACATCACTATTATATACTAGAAGCAAGAATTTTACACTTATGCTGTAACTGACCCTTTTAAAAATTTTCTAAACTATTTGAGGAAAGTATTATTTGTCTTAAAGGGTAACAGCCTCATGAAATGACTTGAGGATTGCAATTTCTTATTAGCTTAAGATGTCACTTAAAAGCTGACAGCCCTTATCTGTCTCACTGGCTACGTAAGAGCTACAGAAGATCTATCAATAACCAAGTATACAGATTTTAAGACTAAGTACCAATTGAGGTAAACATGAAACAGTTAAAAGCAAATTCAAAAAATACATTAGGAAAAGTTACACAAATGAAGCATATGCCTATTATATTCCCAAAGCATTTTTGTGGGGAGGAGCAGTGTTGATTGTTGGCCTTTCCATATTCTCTCATACAAAAAAGCTAAAGTCTATTTGCAAGAGTTTTGAGCTAACTTCATCTCTTAAATTGCTTGAACTGTCATCAATAAAAACAAGTCTGAAAAACCCTAGTTTAAAAAGCGGTTCAAGAATAATGTAAACTTACACATATAGCTTCAAGATATTTTCTTCATTTACTACAGGAGGAAAAATAGAACCAAAAAAGCACAAACTGCTTTTTAATCTGACTACCTCAGACTGAAAAGCAGGTGAAGGAGGAATATTTCAGTGTGTTTTTTACATCTGTGTTCCCTCCAAGTGGCCCACCAGAAACAGAATTCTTGTTAAAATGACTGATTCTCGTGCACGTGAAAGACTCTGGGGAATGAATGACTCAGGTCCAAACTTACTGTATCATAATGCTGTACATGTTGAAAACATAATACCTATTAATGTCCTAATGAATCACTGTTTTGCAGAAAACACTGTAAGAAACACTTCAGTCTTTTCTGTAGAGTTTCCATGCATATTTCACCATAGTTCGCATTCTCAGCCTCATCTGGTTTAGAAAGCAATTCTGTTTCTTTCAAACCACCATAGTCTAAGTGCTGCCCCGTCCTTCACCTTTACCCTAGAAAATCTGAGAATCCATTGGTGTGTACTGTGTGACACAATGCCAACAAGCCTCTGCTTCCTAATACTGGCAGGACCAACACACATACTTGAGTGGGAATATAATCTGTTTAGAAGATAATAGAGGGAAATACCATAATTAACAAATCTCCCTTCACTCACCACTATCCTCATTCTTGGCAGTTGTCAAGGTGTAAGCCTCACTGTAAGTTACAAAGCTACCACTCCCCTCTTTAAGAACACATAGCTAAAGAAAAACTGCATATGCAAATCATACCATATTCATTTTTTTTTATTTAACTTGGGGATGGAATGGGGATAGCATACATTTTATTTGTACAATATTTAACAATCACTTATCCAAGGTGGGGTTTTATGGGGATTTTAAGCTTTCTGTTAAATACTTGCAGAAAAAATAGCAAGTACGATTTGACAGTAGTACAATAACCTGTGCCCAAAACACAAGAAATACAGAGTAAAGCGAAAATAACTGCTTACCAATATTCTGAGAGGTAACAAATGGGATATGGGTTGAGACTGCATAAAAAACGTACTGCTGGTTGAATATCTGAGGTAAATGATGTTCAATCAAGATGCTACTTGTATCATTTTGCCCACAAATTGATAAATAATTTTATGCATATCATACCAAATGTTCCTAAAAAGTAATCTTTCAAAAAAGTAAAAAAGAGAAATTGGAAAGTCTCTGTGATGACGCTTCTTTCTTTAAAAAAAAAAAAAAAAAAAAAGACCAGTAATCAGTTTATTCCACTAAACCACCATCTGGCCATGGTTTTTTTCCCTACCACCTGCATTTTACTTAAATGTAGCTGTTACTTAGAGGTGAGGAAACGCGACCAAAGAGATTCTTTTTAAATTTCATGATATGATTCTATTTTAAATTCCAAAAGTGTTGGGTTTTTTCCTGATTGTATTTTCAAAACATCGCCATGAAAGATAGTGCAAGTTCATGGGACTAACAATCATGAGGCACAGTCTCTTTTTCTGGAATTCACAAGGTACCTAGAATTCAAACAAGAATCACACATCACATGCTAAAAAAAACTTCTAGCATCTAAAATACATACAAGAGCTGTGCAGGGCATAGACTTCAAATAAAGCCGAACACTGGTTAATCCATCAGTCCTATGGCAAGTTGATCATAAAGCATTCCTTACGTGGAGATCTGGGCAAGGTAAAGAGTATAAGTTAGAGCAGCAGCAGTTCTGATGGGTATCAGAAAGGCAAAATACAAGACGAGTCATGAGGAGCACCATACACATGAGGAAAGAGTTATTTGGGGGGTTTCAGTTTGCCCCAAAATGGATCACCATTTTTCTCATTCTTTGATCTTTCTTTTTTTCCAGTATCTCTAGCTCAAACTTTCTGTTAACTTGCCCACTCTGCACTGACTGTAAACCAAACACTAAATACCCTGCAAAAGAAAGTTTTAACAAGACTAGGTATAAGGACAGGTAGTCACTGGAACATTCTTATTTTACTGCTTATAAAAAAGTTTTTCTATTAATCATAGTTCTCAAAAGAATACAAGTTTTAAAATTGGTTAGCTACAGTTAAATACAATAACCAGGATTCCTAAAAATTTTTTCTAACTTGAAAACATTTTATATTGTGAATAACTGGTTTTAAAAAAATTTATCTCTAGTACTCACATAAGCCAAACATTCATCATAATATCCCTTGTTTATTTTTGTTTTGATTTTTTTTAACTTTTAAAAAGAAAGTTGAATGTTCACAACAGGTAGAAATTCATCTTCAGGAAATTAATGATTTTCTTGTATGCACATTCTCAATATTTTCCCTTCTTGATTAGTTTTTAAATGGAAGCAAAGCCAGATCAAGAAACTGAGAGACCAAGTACTCTGAAATAGAGGTGAACTCAACATTGAAAATGGAATTGCTAGGAATACAATGAGACCATGGGGACACGCATGACAGTTCTGAATGGTCTGCGGCACACAGACGCTATTACTCTTCTTTTCCTCCCTGCTTAAAGTCTGTTGACCTATGTATTTTTTATAAATAACATAATTTACTATTCCCAGAGATTACGTACATATATGTAAAATGTAGTGTACTGTGTGGTTAAATAACCATTTTAAGACAACACATTCACAGTGAGCTCCTGACAGTGACATGTAAAAAATTCTTTTATAAAATTAATGTATGGATTTTAAAATGACCTGACGGAAATAACATGGCATAATACTGGCTATTTGTTGATTGGTAATCTGGAAATTCAGGAAATTAATGTTTTACTTTGGCCTGTATAAATCTGAGGAAGAATCCAATTGTATTCTAACGTAATATGGTTTTGAAAAGCACTTTGGCACCTGCCTACCATCAATTCCATTTTCTTAGCAAGGATAAGGCATGAACTATCCTAAATTAATATCAGTGTTAGCTGTAAAAGCAATTTTGGGGCGGTGGCTAGGCTATGTTACCTATATCAACATTGGTTACCTCTAAATGTCATTGCATATTTTAA